GAATTCGAATATGTCTTGCAAATTTCTACTTTTTTCTTTCATTCTTTTTAGATGTATAATTAAAATCATGTGTTATTTTTAACCAACGTCTTTGATATTTATTCATACATATGAAAGTGTATAACTTTAAAGAACTATAAAAGTTTAGTTATATTAGTGTTTGAGTGTGTGCTGATAGATTGACTTTAAATGCCTCAGATTACATTGCATTCATCAGGAAACCTGATAATGCGGGGTAATTTTAAATTATGTTAAAAAGATTGGGAAAAGAAGTAGGGGGTTTTGTTATTGTTAGTAGGATACCATCTGCTTATGCTATTATTTTTTGTAATAGTAATATTAATAGTACATTTGAACTTGTATCCCGCCACCAGCTGAATTTTTATTAATCAGGTGTTGAATAAATTTATAGAGACAGGGCAAATATTAATGAAGTTGAACATGCCTTTGTTATACCATTTTTTTTAACCACAATTTTATAAATTTTTCGAATCTGATCAGTTGTATTAAGTTATCATTTTTCTAATTATTATTTATATATTGCCAGCTTATTGCACTATAATTTATAAATCTAAAAAAATAAGACAGCAAATAATTGACAAAAAGAAACAGGCAACGAAGATTTTGCTTAAACAAGCTTAAACATGTAGAAAGGAATTATGTTAAAGCAAAAGTAATACATTTTGATGGTATAAAGTCTATTGGTTCTCCAAACAAGCAAAGTACCACTAGCAAGTACCAGGTTTCCTTCTGCACATAGGTTCTAGAAGATAAAGGTATTATTAGTAGTAGTGGATAAGGAATAGACAAAAATGGATGAAGTAGAAACAATATTTTATAAACTTCTTCACGGAGAGTGTTTTGCCTAAGTTAGTTACACATAATTTTAGTCTTTTACTAACCCTTTCTTGAAGAGCTGCCATACAGGGTATGGCACTGCCATTTATCTTGTGCACTTTGTATGGATACCACAGTTAGAAGTGCTCTTAAGAATCTGGTCCAGGCTATCTCTTGATGCCTCAGTAGTAAGACATCATGAAAATGTATATTTTAAGGTCCCCCAAGGCTGATTTTATTTTAGTTTGGAGACAGTCATTCTCACAATTGCATTGTATATCAAACTCAGCCACCTGGAGGGACCACATATAAGAAGAGCACACGCCGCAGTCCCAGTGATTATTGTGTGTACATGCTGCACAGCCAGGTATTCAATGTGATCTCACCAAGCTACTTAACAAATAGAAGGGTGTGCAGAAAAAGTCCTGTTCACCACCACCCGCTCCGGACAATCACCACCACCTTCTTTTAAGTAGGTAGGCGGAGCACTATAAAACATAGCATTATTTTTTACAATAGTAGACGATTTTAAGGATCAGCAACCTGATTAAAATAAATAAACAAATATGAAAGAAAAAAAACAATACTATGCACCTGCCCACTGTATCAACTGTACAGACCCAGGTAATAAATAAAAGGAATGGAGCATTTTAGTTACGAAGAAAGGTTAAAAAATTTAAATCTCTTTAGTTTAGAAAAATGACGGTTCAGAGGGGATATGATAACATTATACAAATATATTCAGGGCCAGTACAAACCATTATCTGGAAATCTATTCATAAACAGGGCTATACATAGGACACGAGGTCATGCATTTAGGCTGGAAGAAAGGAGATTTCATCTAAGGCAAAGAAAAGGTTATTTTACAGTAAGAGCAATAAGGATATGGAATTTTCTGCCTGAAGAGGTGGTTTTATCAGAGTCCATACAGATGTTTAACCCCTTTCCGACCAAAGACAGACATTTTCCATCAAGCTTGTCCTTGCGTTAAGGACCCTTGATGGAAAATTTCCATCATTTACTAAAATTAACACAAGATCACGGTGATCGCAGGGTTAACGCTTCTCCGGTCTGCCTCAGTATTCGAGGCAGACCGGGAGCACCCGATCGTGCTGTTCCTGTAGCTGTGATCGCTCTGACAGGCTGTCAGAGCAAGCACATGTGCTGCAGGGACTTCTAATTAGCCTCCCTGTGCTTACGCTTTCTGTGTAAAGTTCAGGGAGACGGATCAGCAGTGATCTTCTCCCTGCAAAAATAAAAAAATTAAGGATACCCCCCTCTTTCTCCTGCTTTAATAAAAGTAACCGCTTCCATGCCAAATGATCACTGACTACAGTGATCAAATGGCAAGGACTACATTTTACTGTCATCTGCTTTTTTTTTTTTTAACTCCTGAGTGTTAATTGTTATTTTTTTAACCCTCAAGGGTTAAATTTATTTTAGTAATTAATTTAAATATTTAAAAATTATATATTTAGCTAGTTGGGGTGGGTGGAAGTTAGTGGGAAAATGGGGAATTTAATGTTAGTGCTGCTTACTGCTAGTTACGGGTTAACGGTAAAATAAAAAGTTTATAAAAATGTTTAAAAGTGTAAAAAAAGTTTAAAAAAATAAAACAAAAATCACTACTACTACACCTGGAACAAACTAGAAAAAAAATGATCCCACGCTTCAAAATTACCCCGGGGTGTATTCTTTAATAAATAGTATGTGTTTGTAGGGAAGTTAAAACTACTCCAAACTACTCCAAAATGGAACATGGACACTTCAAAGTTAGAAAAAAACTTAATGGCTGCATCTCAAATGTGCCCCTTCAATGTCCACATATACCTGGCAAAGGTACGTGCAGGGGTGTTGCTGTACTCAGCTGACATAGCTGAGCAACATATGAAGTATTATACAGTCATAGCACACATAAGCACAGAAAAATAGGGGACAATCTGCTAAATACAAATAAAACAAAAAAACATAGCATATAACTGTGTGGAGGCTGGTATTGATGTGCAATCACAAATGGTCACTCACAATTTTGAGGAGTTAAAATAGCCTTGAATGATGTCTTTATGGAGTAAGAGCAGCTTTAAATGGTGTTTTCCAATATCCAGTATGTTGCCCCTCCTCACATATTCATCAGCAAATAGATATATATGTCTCAAAGAGAGAAAATGTACAAAAATGAAGTGCACTTCCAGAATATAATAAAAAATATTTTAATGACTTACATTTAAGTATAAAACAAGCAGCATATCACCATACACGTCCTACGCGTTTCGTGCTAAAATTGGACTTCCTCAGGGACTTGGTGTAATAAAGTGCAATCAGAAATAGCAGCAATAATAACAATATCCCCCCCAATAGTCCTTTATATACACCCCCATTTGATGTTTGAAATCTTTCAGCTGGTGTTCAATTTTCATTTCGGCGGTGTGGAGTCGAGTGACGTCATCGCGTACACCGCGTGCGTTCCACCTTGCGTTCCACAGACCCGGAAGTGGGTCGCGATCGTCTGTCTCTTTCTCCTATTCTAATGCATTGACTTAAAGCATATACAGACAGGTGGATAAAGCGAAAGGGGGAGGGACAGATAATTAAAATATACTCTGGACGGCACTACAAACCAAATAAAAAAATCGAATAAATGTACATTCTCAATATGACCACTTCCTCCCAGCAGCACTTGCGCTGCGGCGGCATTTTTTTTTTTTTTAAAGGGGCTCGGTCGCGCTATACCATGGCCACAGCGCTGACCGGGCCCCTGAAGATATGGGGCCCTTCGGGTGGCCCTAAGTGCGTGGGCCACCTGATGGGCCCCATCAGCGTGCGGGCCCCTGTGGAACTGCACCAGCGGCAGTTCCGCTGCTACAGGTAGGGCCCGGGCATAATGGTTGTCACCCCCTGATGGCGGCCCTGGAGCAGACATGGGCTAATTTTTATAATGGTGAACTGTGAATGGGATCTGGTGACTTTATAAGATTTAGTTTTTATTGTTAGTTAGATTGTTGTTGTTGTTGGTATAGTTAGTTAGATTGTGTGTCATTATTTGTATGTTGTTGTTGTTTTGTCTCTGAATAAATATTTGTTAAAGTAGACGGACCAGAGTTCATATGTGTATGCGTACATAATTTATAGAGTTTGGTAATACACCACAATAGCACACACCAGCTTTACAAAATACACATTACAAAAACCTTGTTATATGTGTATTTGCCAAAATAGAGAAAAAAATAAATTTTACTCCAATATTTAGCAGAGATTGGTGATGAAATGGCTACATAAAAAGTGTCAAACTAACCTTAGGTAAATAGCCTGTGATGTCTACTTTTAAAAATATATATATACTTTTGTGTGGCAATTTTGTTTTCTGTGATGGCTACTAAATCTACAAGACAAACATACCAACTTCTAAAATTTACATTACAATTTTATTTTACTCCTTGTATTTTGTGACCTGTAACTTTCAAAATAAGCTGAAATCCTATGCATATTATGTACTCTATAAATCAAGACACATAAATTAATTTATTTTGAATTACTTTTTCTAAGCTGGACATATTATGCACATGCTATTATTGCCAAAGCTGTTTTTTTCCCGATTAAAAAAAAATAAAAAAAATTAATAAGAATTAATCTATGTATATGTGACATAAAATTAAAGCCCTGTTTGCCCAATAAAAAATGATATATAATGTGTGTTGGTGCAATAAATGACAGAGATGCAAATTGCATTTGAACACAAACAGCAAAAAAATGCAAAAATGGCTCGTGTATTTAAGGGTAAGACTAGCTTTTGAAGCTGTGTCCTTAAGGGGTTAAACAGCAATTGGATAAATACTTGCAAAAACATAACATACGGGGATATAATTTCTTATTAGTGGGGTAATAGCTGCTTGATCCAAGGAGATATTGGACTGCTATTTTGGAGTCAAAAAGGATTATTTACCTAGTTTGTTGCAAAATTGGACGCTGTTCAGACTAGGTTTTTTGCCTTCTTTTGGATCAACATCAAAAACATATGAGAGGAAGGCTGAACTTGATGGACGCAAGTCTCTTTTCAGCTATGTAACTATGTAACTCTAGACACACCTCTCTGCATGTAACATGTGCAGCTTTCCTAAACACTTTTTGTAAATTGAGATCTAATGTTTAAACTCCCTTTATTACATATTCTGTTTAATTTAGAATTTCTTATTTTCTGCTCTGAGCCTTCTAGACCCTACAGGAAACTCCTCTATCATTAAAGCACAATTTACAGAGCAGGAGATACAAACTTCTACAGCAAGTTAACATTTGATTGAAAAGGAAACAATTTTTCATGCAGGCTGTGTCAGTCACAGCCATGGGAGGTGTGGCTAGGGCAGCATGGACAGAAACAAAAGTGATTTTAATCGTAAAAATGGCAGAGAATTGAGCAGTGGGACTGCAGGGGCATGATCTATACACCAAAACTACTTTAATAAGCTTCAATCATTTTTTTCTTGTGCCTATATTGTCCCTTCAAGCCCCCAAAGCCTCTCCCCTAGCAACGCCTATTCTGAGACCTATTGTCTACTAGGGACAACAAAAACACGTTGCATGCTTAGTTATACATACACATAGCATTCAACAAGCTTCACACTAAACTAGCTAATGAATTCACAAGTCAACACAAATGGGCGGGGTAAAAGGGTGGGCCACTGGCGCGAATCACGTGACAAGACCTGCCAAAAGGGGTGAACATGCCCAAAAAACATGTTTGTCCAAAGAATTGGAAGGTCAGCCTGGCATGAATGCATGTTAGGCTGCCTGCCAATCCTGCAGGATGTCCAACAAAGTGCATACTATGCAGGCAGCACCTTACACTTTACATAAATGCATCTATTGATGCGCTCACTCCATTCTTTCTAAGGACTGTCCCCTAGCACTCGCTGGTCCACTTGTCTCCTTACCTTCTTACTTGCAGGCAGAAGTTCCTGGTATAGTCTGAGACAGAGAAAAGGTGTCTGTAGTGAGTTTAGAAGAAAGGGGACATGCCACAGTGTTAGAGAGACCAACGTCTGCATTACCTAAACTAACTTTAATGTCAGCCAGTGCACACAAGTTTTGTTCCCATACATCCCTCTTAAGCTTCCAAACTTAAAGGGACACTACAGCTTATTGTATTTGTTCTGGTAAGTAGAATCATTCCATTCAGGCTTTTTGCAGTAAACACTGTCTTTTCAGAGAAAATAACTCCACTGGCCGCTACTTAGATGGCTGCTAGAGGTGCTTCCTGGGGCAGCACTGCCTAGTGTGCAGCACTGCCATTCAGTGTCTCCACCCTCTGCATGCAGACACTGAACTATCCTCATAGAGATGCATTGATTCAATTTATCTTTATGAGGAGATGCTGATTGGCCAGGGCTATGTTGGACTTGTGCTGGCTCTGCCCCTGATCTGCCTAGTTGACAGTCTCAGCCAATCCTATGGGGAAATATTGTAATTTGCTCAGACCACCACTTCTGAGCCAGCAGCTGCAGAATTGAATACAAGTAATATTTTACTATATTTAGGGAGGGAAGAATGGGCCAGGGTGGTGGTTTTAACATAATTGGGTAAGAAATACATGATGGTGTTCCTGACACTATAGTGCTCCTTTAAGCAAGAGTATGTGAAGAGTAGTTAAGGTTGCCACCTTTCTTGGAAAAAAATACCAGCCTTAATCATTTGTATAATTAATTAGTTGTGCGTGTAAATCACAAGGAGTGACATCAGAGAAAATTCTGTAAAATCACCAACAAACTACTCAGTTTGATTCTGCTGTATAGATGGATTGCTCCCAGTGTCTCCCTGTCTCCCAGTGTCTCAGTCTCGCAAGTCACCCAGTGTCTCAGTGTCCCTATGTATCACAGTGTCTGTGTCCCCATTTCTCCCAGTGTCCCAATGTCTCAGTGTGTCCCCATGTCACTAGGATACTGGGGACACTGAGAGACATGGGGACACTGAGAGACCCGGGGACACAGAGACATGGGGACACTGAGACATTTAGGGAAACTGGGAGAAATGGGGACACTGAGACACTAGGGACACTGAAACATTTGGGGACACTTAGACACTAGGGACACAGACATGGGAACACAGACACTGGGAGACTAGGGGACACTGGGAGACTAGGGGACACTGGCTGGGAGACAGACACTTGGGGACACTGGGAGACATGGGGACAGTTGTGGACATAGACATGTGGACACTGGGACATATAGGGACACTGGGAGACATGGGGACACCAGGCACACTGAGACACTAAGTCCCCTAGTGTCTCAGTGTCCCCATGTGTCCCCTAGTGTCTCAGTGTCCCCATGTGTCCCTGCTGCCTTTCCCCCCCATCCCTCACTTACCTGAGCTGTACAGCTTCTGTCTGTACTCTCTGTGCTGTGTAGCTGCTCCCCCACGGATCAGTGAGTAGTAGAGAGAGGCAGGGATATTCTGTAACTTCCTATCCCTGCCTCTCTCCACACACAGTGACCCCTACTGGCCAGTGTTGGTATTGCAGAGTAATTTCCATTTATTCTGAGAAAATTACCTGCATTTGTATTGCCGGTATTACTGCAATACCGGCACGGCCAGGCAGCCTCAAATACCATCTGTGCCATTAAAATAGGTGGCAAAAATAGGTCAGGTGGCAAACCTAAGAGTAGTGTGCCCCTGCCCACAGAGTACAATGTCTCAGCGTTAGAGTGACTGAGCATTTAAAAGAAGATGGTGGGTATGTGCAGTAGCAGTGACAGGCAGCACAGTGCTCTGTGTCAGACATATCCTTCCCACCCCTAGGCGTGACTGGCTTTATATATATTAATTATATATTTGAGCAAATTCCCTTGTTTAATCAGCCCTCAGGCGATAGGGGGAGAGGGAAAAGATAAATTATACACTGAAGGAATAGCCCAATCACTTGTTTCGGCTTATTTAGTGAGATTTATATTAGCTTATTTTGTTCGTTTCCACCTGGTTCGGTTCCCAGGAACCCAGAACCTTATTAGAACTTGGAACGTTAAGTATCCTGTACGAAAACAGCAAAGGAAACAATTAATAGAATGCTCTGCTGGGTGTAAACCAAGGTGTGGAAGCGATCTGTGTAGACCTGCTGCCCTTTCAAGTTTCCGACTACATACACGAACAGCGTTCGGCAATTATGAACTACTGAACAAGGGGATCATTCTGCAATAAAAATCCCACAAACGGAAACTGGCCATTGCCACTATTTTGGGCTTTGACCTCGAGGCAAGCCGGTTAAAACTTCCCTGCAATGGCGATTAAAAACTACCGAACCTATCTGAGGGATTTTTGGATATTATGGTAACTCAGAGTAGGGATATCTGGGGATTTGACTTTTGACTTTTTGACTCAATTATCTCTCAGGCACAGAGGAGGAGTTTACTGACTGTATAAATTTGATGTCGACCTTCCATTAAACAGTTCTAATCCCAGCATTAAGCCTTGGCTCATGTGTGGGGGCATATGCGATATTTTACTTCAGGATTATTGGAACTGTTTTATTTGGGGAAAAGGGAATCAGTGGCTGAGTTACTTTGACAGTCCACCACATACACTTACATTTGGCAGGGGCTAAGAACTGCTG